CTAAGAGAAGCATCAGACAACGAAGGAATTAAAGGGATCGGATCAGTTTCAATGGTGAAATGCTTGGCAAAGAACGAATTTAAAATTTCTGCTTTGCCTGACTCCTCTGTAATGAAGGCATCACTTGCACTAAGCAAGGGCGGGATGACTTGGTGGGACTTAGCAGATGATCTCTGACGGAAGATCTGAGCAACTGATTTAGAAGAATTCACGTCATTAATAGCTAAAGACTCTCTACGCCTGTCTCGCTCGAGCCTCATTTTCGAAGCTAGTTCAAATATTTCAACGATTCTTACATGAACTGATAATAAACTCACAGTAGGATCTTTAAACTGCTTCCGTAAATTTTTAAGTCTGTTTTTAAGAAAGTGTGGGATAGCGGTGGAATTAGCACTCGGTTTGAACATCTTCCGAGGAATAAGCTCAAGAAGACCTTCTGTTACGCATTGTAATAAATTGTTGAAAAAATTTAGATCATTATTTGAAAAAATATTGTGCCAATCAAGAGTGCATGTAAAGTTATTTACTAAATCCTTATTAACATTAGCAAAGTCAAAAATACTACGTTGAACTGTTGGCTTTGCGGAAATGGCAACTGGAAGGCGACAATGAATTAATGCATGATCACTTGCAAAGAGGTCATGATAAAAATCCATAGATAAAGGGAAGGTGCCATTAGTAAAGATTAAGTCTAAAACACTATCGTTTCTGGTCGAAGAGTGAACTAATTGAGTCAGGTTTGAAAAGTAAATTGTGTCAAGCAGGTTCTGGAATTTAGGAGGAGAAGTATGTGTGTGCCAGTCAATTTCTGGCAAATTAAAATCGCCTACGATTATCTTGACATCGAAAGAAGTTTCTGCAATTTTTTCAAAGAGATGACAAAGTTGGCTTTCATTTCCGGAGGAACAAGGAGGATTATATACACATCCGACTAAGGCTTTCCTATTTTGAGGAAGGATTACCGAAGCAAAACATAAATTTCCAGAGAAGGAGGAAATGTTCAAGTTATAAGGCGATTGTGCAAGTGATGCTCTTATGTAAAGAAGGCATCCACCGCCGCGTCTGTCGGCACGGTCCTGGCGGTATAAACTAAGGCTATCTATGTTAAGTACCGAGTCTGAAATTAGAGAGTGGGCCCAAGATTCAGTAATGCACAATACGTCTGTGTCAAACTCAACAGCTACACTTCTTAGGTGTGCCATCTTTTGTACGACAGATCTTGCGTTGAGAGAGACAATACTGAGCGTATTCCTAATATGTAGGTTCCGCTCATTGCTACTTATAAAAAAGGAAGAGCCGGAGGTGGAAAATTAAGCTGTGGGAACGGAGCAATTGGTGGAGGACAAAGTTGCTGCGGTCTAAAATTTATGGGGTAAGTACTAGTTAGAGATGCAGCATTAGGTGGAAAAACATTTGAGGAGGACCCAGGAAGAGGAAACCTATTTTGTTGGGTTGGAAAAATAGGAGACAAGAACTGCGACGAACTGCGTGAACCGAGAGCGGGCGTCAATCAGAAACCTTCCTATCCACGACGCTTGACGTGTCGGGATAGCCTCGGACTCAAGTCACCCGTGCAGCCGAAGCCGCATGGGGACCGAGTCGAGATGCACACTTCCCACTTGCGTGGGAGGTGGCAGTTGGGTGCATGAGGTGTGTGAGTGTTGATTTCTGGTGGGGTGATGGTGGTGGTGGAGGAGGTAGGGAGTGAGTGAATGTGTGGTGTGGCCGGCGGTTGTCTACCGCAGGTCGTCGTGGATGCGCATGTGACCGAATAGGCTCATGCGATGCCTGAAAGTGCGAGGACAGTGTGGGCAGTTGAGACGAGCTTGATGGGTATAGGTGGGTGCTCCAGGCACTGGTTCGCCAGTCTCTGTGCGATGGATTCGCAAGTGACCGACCAGGCCGATGCGTGAGGTGAATGTGCGTGGACAGTGTGGGCATGAGAAGTCGGCGGTGTCAGTGTCAGCTACAGTGGAGGCGGTGGTGGTGGTGGCGCGGACGGATGGAGCGAGGGTGGGGGTGTGCACGATGGATCTGTTGGATGTGGTGGGTGTGTCGGGAGTGCGGTCAAGGCCGCTCTCGTGGATGCGCATGTGGCCGAAAGGGCCCATGCGATGCCTGAAGGTGCGAGGACAGTGTGGGCAGTGGAGGCAAGTGCAGTGGGTGTAGGTTGGTGCTTCACGCACTGGTTCGCCAGTCTCTGTGCGATGGATTAGCAAGTGACCAACCAGGCCGATGTGTGAGGTGAAGGTACGGTCGCAGTGAGGGCAGGTGTAGTCCTGATCCTCATCGCTGGAGTCGGGGGAGGTGGTGGGCGAGGAGGAGGATGGAAGTGGTGGTTCAGAAGAATTGTCAGAGTTAGTTGGCGGTGGAGAGGAGGAGGAAGAGGCCGGCGGGGGAACGATGGTTTTTGCCGTTCGAGAGGCGCAGTTAATCCGATGCTGTCCAACAAGTCCGATTCGAGCCCGGAATGTCCGTTGACATCGAGGACACGTTGAAAGCGGTTGTGCGGCGGCGTTGCGTACTGGGCGAAGTCGTGATTTGCGGGCTTCACGTTTCGCTTTGGCGGCAGCGATGCGGTTGGCTTCGTAGATCGCAGCGTCTGTCTTCACTGTCCTCCTCCACGTCGGTCGATCGAGTGCGACCTCTTCCCAGTCGATGGGATTGATTTGCAGGCGTTTCAGGGAGGACTTCAGGGTATCCTTGTAACAGCGAATCTGGCCTCCTTGACGGCGAGAACCCGTCGCGACGTCTCCGTAGAAGAGTCGTTTGGGTAGTCGCTCGTCGTCCATGCGCACCAGGTGGCCGCTCCAGCGCAGCTGAATTTGCCTAAGTATGGTGTAGATGCTGAGGATTCCCGTCCGTTCCAGCACATCAGTGTCGGGGAATCGATCCTGCCAGTTCAGCCTCAGGATGCGACGAAGACAACCGAGGTGGAAGTGGTTCAGACGACGTGCCTGCTTTGCGTACACCGTCCAAGTCTCCGCCCCATACAGTAGTGTCGGCAGGATGACGGCCTTGTACATCTTCAGCTTCGTGCTCAGTTGAAGACCGTGGCGATTCCAAATTGTGCTTTGGAGGCGACCGAAGGCTTGACTGGCTTTCGAGATCCTGTTTGCGACTTCGTCGTCGATCTTGGTGTTGCGGGAGAGAGTACTGCCCAGGTACGGGAAGTTCTCTACCACTTGCAGTTAGGTTCCATTCACGCTGATTTGCGGCGGCGCGTTGGGGGGCTGTGGCTGAGTTGGGTGGCGGTTGGTGCATCAGCACCGTCTTCTGTGTGTTGATGACCAGACCGAAGTTCTCGCAGGCGGCGGAGAACAGGTCCATGCTCCGTTGCATCTCCTCTTCCAAAGTGGTGTTCAGGGCGCAGTCGTCGGCGAAGAGGAGTTCGTGAACGGTGGTTGTGGATAAGCGCGATTGGAAGTGCATCCGTCGTTGATTCAGCAGGTGACCGCCCGTCCTGTAGGCGATGCGGATCCCGGGGCGTTCGTCGCGGTAGGCGTCCATCAGCATGGCAGAGAACATAAGACTGAAGAGGGTAGGCGCCAGCACGCATCCGTGCTTCACTCCGTCGGTCACTGCGAATGCCTCTGAGACAGCTCCGTTGTCCGTGACTCGCGCCATCATACCGTCGTGCAGCTGACGCACCATCTGAGTGAATCGTTCCGGACAGCCGAATTTCTGCATGATCTTCCACAGTCCTTCACGATTCACCGTGTCGAAGGCTTTCGTCAGGTCCACGAAGGTAGAGTACAGGTGGGTCCGCATCTCCTGACACTTCTCCTGAAGTTGACGGGCGGCGAAGATCATATCCGTGGTCCCACGATGACGACGGAAGCCGCATTGTCTTTCCGGCAGAAGGCCCTGTTCCAGATGGTTATTGAGGCGGTTGAGAAGGATGCGGGCGAAGATCTTCCCGGCGATGTTCAGCAAGGAGATGCCGCGGTGATTGTCGCAGACTTGGCGATTCCCTTTGCGCTTGTAGAGATGCACGATGGTTGCGTCTTTGAAATCTTGCGGGACTTCACCTTGACGCCACATTTCTTGGAAGAGCGCAGTCAGGTGATCCATCAGTTGGTGACCTCCGTGCTTGTAGACCTCAGCAGGGATTGCGTCCGATCCGGGTGCTTTCCCGCTGAAGAGCTGCTGCACGGCCCTGATGGTCTCCTGGAGAGATGGCGGGAGGTCGAGGTCCACGCTGGTCTCTACTTGCGGCAAACGCTCGATGGCGGCGTCGGAGATGACGGAGGGGCGGTTGAGGACGCCTCGGAAATGCTCGGCCCATCGCTGTAGGATTTGCGTCTTCTCAGTCAGGAGAGTGTTGCCGTCGGCGCTGAGGAGAGGAGCAGTGCCCTTCGTCGGCGGACCGTAGACAGCTTTGATCGCAGAGAAGAAGTTCTTCCATTCGTTGCGGTCCGCGTACCCTTGGATCTCCTCAGCTTTGCGAGCAGTCCAGGCGTCCTGCATCTCGCGCAGTCGTTGCTGAAGTTGGCGGCGACTGCGGTAGAATGCAGCTTTGGTGGCATCAGTGGGGTGATCTACGTAGGCTTTGTGTAGGCTGTTCTTCTCAGCAAGCAGGTTTCTGATGGCGGCGTCGTTGTCGTCGAACCAGTCCTGGTGTTGGCGGGGAGCGCGACCGAAGACGGCGAGCGCCGTCGACCGGACCGTGTCTCGCAGTTGACACCAGCGGTTCTCCACGGAGGCGTTCTCGGCAGCGGCGGCGTCGGCAGAGATAGGAAGGTTGTCTAGCTTTTGAGCTAGCTTATTGCTGAAATGAAGATGGTGAGCGGGCAAAGACAATAAGGAAACTTTCAGCTTACCTGGGGGTCGCTTACCTTGTGGTCTCCTGCGAGGCTGTAGGCGAATACACATCTTCGAGATGACGAGGCGATGGTCGGTCCACCCGTCAGCACCCGCGATCGCCTTCCTCACCAGCACGTCCCGCTGATCTCGCCTCCGGACGAGGACATAGTCCAGCAGGTGCCACTGGCGCGACCGAGGATGCCTCCAGGTGGCCTTCTCTCGCTCCGGCAGACAGAAGAACGTGTTCGTCAGGATGAGGCGGTGTTCTGCGCAGGCTCGGAGCAGCAGCAGACCATTATCGTTGTAGCCACGGAGACCGTGAGGGCTCAGCACTCCTCTCCAGGCAGTATGGTCTGTGCCGACGTAGGCGTTGAAGTCGCCAAGGACAATCAACTATTCCGCCACCGGCACAGTCGCCAAGAGGGCGTGCAGGTTCTCGTAGAATTTGTCTCTTGCGGCATCAGGGCTGGTCATCGTCGGAGCGTGGCGCTGATGATGATGATGGCGAATTTGCCTCCCCAGACAGGCAGGCGGAGGCTCATCAGGCGATCGTTGATGCCCTGCGGCAAACAGGGCAGTCGTCCCACGATGTCGTTCCGAATGGCGAAGGCGACGCCCGCGTCTCGTCGCTCTGCCTTGGGTCGACCACTCCAAAAGAAGGTGTAACTGGCACCCACCTCCTCCAGTTGGCCTTGTTCGGAGAATCGGGTCTCGCTGAGTGCGGCGATGTCCACCTTGTAGCGCGCCAGTTCTCATGCCACTAGCGCCGTCCTTCGTTCCGGTCGGTTGCTCCTTGGATTGTCTAAAAGGGAACGAACATTCCAGGCTGCCAGAGTGAGCGGACTCACCCTGCCAGTCTGGTGACAACGAGTGGGGCGACGGGAAGGAGATGGAGAAGAAGGTGACGAAGGAGAAGAAGAGGCAGAAGAATAGGCAGAGGAAGAGGAAGAAGAGGTAGGATGAGGAGAATGAGTATGGTTGCTGTTGATATTGGTATTGTTGATGTTTCGATTTTGATTGTTTCGACCATGATTAGACGTCTGCGGCCCTGGCTAGCCTGGAGACGGCGTGGTACCCAGCAATGTTTAGGCCGCCTTTTCTAGGCCCTTCCCCTCGTGGGGGCTGGCAGTGCCATCCCTGTATAGGGCTGCCATGTGCCGTTGTGGCACGGCCGAACTCCACTATGGGACCACGACTTCGGGTTGTAGTGGAGAGCGGTTCGAATTCGCCGTAAGCCGCGGTCTCCGACGGCGTAGGTGGGCGCGTCAAGGCGATGTCGATGTGGCGATCCATCCCGTCACCAGCTGTCCAGCGGCGTGCAGAGACGAACCACGTCACGACGATGCCGAAGCAAGGTTCCATCCGACCTTCCATCCAGCGGAATCCGCAAACCCTGTGCACACGGCACAGCGCACAGGGCCCCCTCACCTGGTTTAGCCCGCCGGTCGAGACGGTTGCCCGAGGTGTGGCCGCTGAGCAGAGTCCAGCTACGTGGAGCCACAGGTGAGAGTTGAGTGCCAGCAAGTGGACGCTAGGCGCAGTCTCACCTGCAAGCAAGTGAGCGACCACCACGACCATTACGTGAATCCACCGCTGACACCCCTACACCCCATATGCAGACTATACACCATGCCTCTCCATCATGACGAATGCTTCTTTCTTCGCATGCTGTTGCTAAATCTGTCCGGTCCAATGTCTTACCAGAAATTAAGAATTGTCAACGGCGTTACGCATGCACCTTCCACAGTGCATATAATGCTGTCAATGTATTGGAGAACGACCGACATTGGGATTTATGCATTAACGACGCCTACAACACGTCCTATCTACATAAAATTCGTGCATTGTTTGCGATCATACTAGATGCCTGTTATCCTTTATCTCCAGCAGATTTATGGCAGTGCAAGCAGTCTACATCCACTTTAGGAAAGCCCTCGACAGTGTACCACATCAGCGTCTCCTGTACAAATTAAGCCGAACAGGCATTAGGGGTAATCTCCTGAGTTGGGCCCAAAGCTTCTCGATCGGTCGCTGTCCAATCGTCAACGTCCGTGACAGGCAGTCGGAAGAGGTAGCGGTTGAAAGCGGTTCCTCAAGGCTCCGTCCTTGGCCCTACCCTATTAATTATATACGTCAACGACTGCGGCAGTGGAGTGAATTGTGATGTCACCATGTTCGCTGATGCTGTTAAACTTTCGAGCGTCATCCGAACTGAATTTGACGAAGAGCGCTTGCAGGCAGATCTGACCCGACTCTAGAAATAGTCAAAGGACTGTCTTTTACTGTTTAATGTGCCTAAGTGCAATTTTTTGCGAATTGGTGGAACCCGATCTCCGAGTCGGAGGGTTAACCACCTAAATGACGTACCACTGCAGGAGGTAGACGACCAGAAAGACTTGGGTTTGTGGGTAACGGCTTCTCTTAACCCGTCGCTTCACTGCTCCAAGGTAGTCAAGTCCGCGATGTCAATCGTTTATCTTGTCAAGAGAGCTTTCTCTGCCTTCGATGACGAATGCTTCGTTAGAGTCTTTCGGATATTTGTACGGCCAGAGTTAGAGTTCGCTATTAAGGCGTGGAAACCCTGGACCTCTAAAGATCTCAGCCCCCTTGAGAAAGTTCGAAAGCGGGCAAACAAACTCATAAGTGGACAGGGTTCACGACCCTATAAAACACGATTATCCAATATCGGCCTTTTTCCACCGAGTTACAGACAGCTAAGAGGCGACCTTATACAAATATGCCGTATAATGCGCGGCCACGACTGCTGTCTCTTGCCTGCTGATGTCTTTGAGTTAGCAACAACAACGAACCTCCGAGGTCATCCACTTACACTACGTGTGACTGGCGCCAGGCTGGACATTCGGAAGTTCTTATTTTCAAGCAGAGTGATCGAGGCTGGGAATGCTCTGCGTGCAGATGTCACGTCAACCTCTGTTGAGGCATTTAAGCGCGAGTTGGACCAGTGTACCACTAAACGTCATAATGCCACCTGACCGATGTCGTCTTAGCATTTCGTTTGAACAGTATATTAATTTTATTGTATTACTGCCTGTATATTTCGGTAACGTTTGTTTTTACCATTTTTTTCAGGTCCGTTAAATATGAGTGTTGGCATTCAACTCGTCTCCCTCAGAAACTGAGATCGCACCAATTATGCACAGACTGACTACCGTACAGCACATTTGTTAATGTTAATGTTTCTATCACTTGGAGCAATTCGTTTATCTTACTGATTTCGATATTTTGCCAATCTGAAGAAACTCTGTAGCTGTTCCATGTTTCCATTTTCGAATTTTTGATCAAGTTCGCTTCTTTGTGACAAATAGGGTGTTCAAGCTTTCAACACCTATACTTCCCTCAAATAAACTGAAATGGAAACTAAAACTGAATCCGATTGCCCGTTGTCTTATCCTTAAGGGCTTTGCAGCACGATTTTGAAAAGATTAGTGAAAGCTACATTTTTGGATTCAATTTCTTAAGCTCTTGCACAGCTTTCCAGTGTTGATCTGACAAAATTTTATATTTATTGTCATAAGTCATCTTCGCTTCCCGTCGTGTATCATCGATTTATCATAAAGCAGAAATCTAGTGTCAGAGTTTTTCACCCAACATAGCCTCAATCCTATTAAGTATTACCCGCAAATAAAAAAGGTTTTCCTCGTAAAATTTCGAATAACATCATAATTCGAATGATAAACCATCTCCACTGACCGCTTTTATCATCGGTTTATTGACTAGTAAGAGAACCATACCGTTCTCTATTTTATCATACGTAGCCTCTTTATCCAGTTCAAATTTATTCAGAGTTCTGTTTTGTCACCTAGGAAATTGTCATTTACCCGTCTTTTTTCAAGTTTGCATTATGTTATTGAGTAAAATTTGTTTAGTATCATTTATGCTGTCTGGTCCACCAATATCGATAACTTTCAGAAATCGTTTCATCATACATAGCCTCATCCATATATCCCCGAACTTTCGGCAGTTATCATCCATATAAATTTTTGGAATAGAGTCTTGTTTTGCTTTTCTCGACATGAAACCTCAGGCAACCCTTCGCCGAAACCTGAAAGAAACTAAACTCCATTTGAAATCCATTGTTCATATGAAAAAATAGACCTAGGGGCGCTAGATAATTTTAACAATTTTATGTCTCGTTACGGATCAATTTTTTCTGTTGTTGGTGCCCTTCTTGAAGGAAAGTTGCCAACGCTTACGTCTCAACAGTGTGAGACGCTCTTGCCTCTCATTGACCTGGTTGCTAGTGAGACTGAAGACACGCACAAACGAAGTTTAAAGTTTATTTTAAAAAATTTTCCTAAGAGTAGACAGTCAATCGATGTCGTTTTTCACTTCCTTTATTCATGCGGCTTCAACTTCATGGTAGCTGAAGTTAAAAGACTTTCATATAGGATCAAGAATCCACCAATCCTCATCAAACTCCTTTCGTTGATAGAAGTGGACTTTATTTTTTCCCAATTGGAGCGCTCAGCTTAATATCTCAGGGGAAATAAACTTTTTATTAGTCGAGATCAAACTTCACTGCAACGAAGAGTTTTCCCCCATTAACAAACGTAAAACCATCCCCGAATTCTACTCATACGCCTTTTTCATCTAAAGCAGTTTCTCCATCAGGCGTCAACCAAATCTTCTCATTATCTACAACAGCCCCGCTTCCATCTAGCTCTTCGACTGATCACATTATCTCAGAGTCAGTTGAAACTAGCCTCTAAAACTCCCCCAACAAGCAAGGATTGTTCAAATGCAGCTCCCAAATTTACTAGGGAGCTTGATCTTAACAGTAAAGACGAGCCAATCCTTGAAGCACAACCGACTCCCAGCACTCAGAATAGTGATTTAGTTAATAAACCTACGTCGAATCCACCCTGTTCCCGCGCCCAGCCACTCAGGTCTGACCTGGCGGTTAGGTCAAATATTCTAGATGATAGTTCAGGGAGATCTTTACCTGTTCCTATCCTGAAGTCTCAACTTAACGTAAATACCCCAGCTGCGAAGCCTTCTTACACACCGGCCTGCAAAATGCAAGTATATGGCATTGCTGATATGTTTTCCAATCCCATTGCTAATCTGACATCCCAAATAATAAAGCCTTCTACTAATGTAAGCTGTTACTCGAAACCATTAGTCCGCTATCTAACATAAACTACCCCTCATATTACGCTCAAAATTTACGAAATCCTATTTTCATGCCTCCAATTTTTCCAACCCAACAAAATAGCTTTCCTCTTCTCGGGTCCTCCTCAAATGTTTTTTTCACATAATGCTGCATCTCTAGTTAGTAGTTACCCTACAAATTTAAGACCGCAGCAACTTTGTCCTCCACCAATTGCTTCGTCCCAACAGCTTAATATTCCACCTCCGGCTCTTCCTTTTTTATAAGTAGCAATGAGCGGAACCTACATATTAGGAATACGCTCAGTATTGTCTCTCTCAACGCACGACCTGTCGTGCAAAAGATGGCACACCTAAGAAGTGTAGCTGTTGAGTTTGACCCAGATGTATTGTGAATTACAAAATCTTGAGCTCAATTATCTCAGACTCGGCACTCAATGTAGATAGCATCAGTTTATACCGCCAGGATCGTGTCGAAAGACGCGGCCGTGGTTGCCTTCTTTACATCGAAGCCTCACTTGCACAGTCGCCTTATGACCTGAACATTTCCTCCTTCTCTGGAAATTTATGTTTCGCTTCGGTAATCCTTCCGTAAAATAGGAAAGCCTTAGTCGAATGTGTATCTAATCCTCCT